TTAATTTTGCAAAATATCTGCTATTTTATAGATTGAAAAATGCAAAATTTATAAAATTCAATTTGAAAGAAAAAGCATCTCTCCTAATGAGGATTGCTGCATCTCCTATACTTTCACTTTGAGATGACATGTGATGGAAGCTGTAATGTCACCACATTTGAAACAACCTGCCTACTGTGAATGTTTCGTATTTTTTCACATAGAGACTTCTATTTGCTATTTTTGTTCATTTATATCTTATCATTTATTTTTAAAAATTTGACCAACAATCTAGCTGTGCATACTGCTAGTCATTATGATCACATCTCATATGATTTTATTTTCCCTTACCCCTCCTGTCTGATTTGTTACTTCCATTGGTTCCATCTTATCTTAGAACAGGGTCTGTCTCTTACTTTATTTGCTCAGTTCCTAGCACAGTGCTGCCCCAATTCTGCTTTGGGTGCTACTGCATTGCCAGTAAATACTATTTTACAATGATTCAGTTGTTCCATTGTTCTAGAAGCTGGGAATGGGTGATGATTACCGGTTCTGTTCATTCCCTCTGGGCACCTGGCATTGGCCACTGTTAGAAGTCAGGATACTGGGCTAGATGGACCTTTGGTCTGACCCAGGATGGCCATTCTTATGTATATTGCAGTGATGTAAATCTTTGGTGTTGACATATACTAAAATCTTAACTCTGCACACCCAAGGGATACAAGCTTCACATCACCCACTTTGCCAAACTGCGCCCTCCTGATTCGACATATATACACCAAATATACACAATTCTTATCACTTGGAAGTAGTTGCAGAAGAACAGGGTGAGGAAGCAGAGTAAAATTGAAGTGCATCATCTATGGTATATAGTAGTTGGAGTAATTTTAAGGTGTGTGATTGTGGATAGAGAAGAGGTTATATAAAAATTAAGACTTTTGCTTAACTTTTCACTTACTTGCTTTTGTAGCTTTATTCAAGTATGTTATGACTGCATCTAACTGCTTCACAATAAGGTTTTAAAATATTTTAATTACATTAATAAAATAGGTTTTTAAAATGGTTTTTACAAAATATAATTTTTCAGCCAAAAACACTCAATGGTAACACTTTAAGTAGCTATTCTTCCATAATTAGTTCCAGTTCTGTGGATTATAGGATACAGTTGTTATGAACATTCAAAAATTTATAAAGAGTAGGAGATGCTTAGGTAAAATCTTTCAACCTTTTAGTCACATGAAAATAATCAATGACATTCTTCACATGAGTAGAGATTACACACATAAATTAATAACTGCATTGTTTTAGTTTATAAATCCACCAAGGAGTTCAAATAGCAGAATAAACAGCTAACATGCAATAAAACTTGAAAGCAGAAGAAAAATTTAAAAATTCGGAGTGACAGTGTTATTAGTGAGACAAGGTGGGTGAAGTAATATATTTCATTGGACCAACTTCTGTTGGTGACAGAGACTAGCTTTTGAGCCACACAGTGCTCTTTGTCAGGTCTGGGAAAGGTACTCAAGAGTGTCACAGCTAAATGCAAGGTTGAACAGATAGTTTAGCATACATAGTTAGTACTAGGGCTGTTAAGTGATTAAAAAAATAATCACAATTAATTGCACTGTTAAACGATAATAGAATACTATTTATTTGAATATTTTTGGATGTTTTCTACATTTTCAAATATATTGATTTCAATTACAAACCAGAATACAAAGTGTACAGGGCTCACTTTACATTTATTTTTGATTACAAGTATTTGCACTGTAAAGAAACAGAAGAAATAATATTTTTCAGTTCACCTAATACAAGTACTGTAGTACAATCTCTTTATCGTGGAAGTTAAACTTACAAATGTAGAATTATGTAAAAAAAACCACTGCATTCAAAAATAAAACAATGTAAAATTTTAGATCCTGCAAGTCCACTCAGTCCAACTTCTTGTTCAGCCAATCGCTCAGACAAACAAGTTTGTTTACAGTTGCAGGAGATAATGCCGCACGCTTCTTGTTTATAATGTCACCTGAAAGTGAGAACAGGTGTTTTCATGGTACTGTTGTAGCCGGTGACAGAAGATATTTATGTGCCAGATGCGCTGAAGATTTATGTCCCTTCAAGCTTCAACCACCATTCCAGGGGACATGCATCCATGCTTTAAAAATCTCACATTGGTGCCTTCTTTGCATTTTGTGAAATCTGCAGTGAAAGTGTTCTTAAAATGAACAACATGTGCTGGGTCATCATCCGAGACTGTTATAACATGAAATATATGGCAGAATGCAGGTAAAACAGCATCGGACATACAATTCTCCCCCCAAGGAGTTCAGTCACAAATTTAATTAACACATTATTTTTTTAATGAGCATCATCAGCATGGAAGCATGTCCTCTGGAATGGTGGCCAAAGCATGAAGGGGCATATGAATGTTTAGCATATCTGGCATGTAAATACCTTGCAATGCCGGCTACAAAAGTGCCAGGCAGATGCCTGTTCTCACTTTCTGGTGACATTGTAAATAAGAAGAGGGCAGCATTATCTCCTGCAAATGTAAACAAACTCGTTTGTCTTAGCGATTGGCTGAACAAGAAGTAGGAAGGAATGGACTTGTAGGCTCTGAAGTTTTACAGTGTTTTGTTTTTGAGTGCAGTGGTGTAACAAAAAAAATCTACATTTGTAAGTTGCACTTTCATGACAAAGAGATTGCACTACAGTACTTGTATGAGGTTAACTGAAAAATACTATTTCTTTTGTTTATCAATTTTACATTGCAAATATTTGTAATAAAAAATAATATACACTTTGATTTCAATTACAACACAGAATACAATATATATGAAAATGTAGAAAAACATCCAAAATATTTAATAAATGTCAATTGATATTCTATTGTTTAATAGTGCTATTAAAACTGCGATTAATTGCAATTAATTTTTTTATCGCGATTAATTTTTTCGAGTTAATCACGTGAATTAACTGTGATTAATCAACAGCGCTAGTTAGTACATATTCTAAGGAACCATTCAAGGTGAAGTGGACTGTTAACAGCCCCGTAGTCACAGGACAAAATGGGAGGTTAGTGAGTTACAGATTGTTTTAATAAGCCATAAATCCAGTGTCTTTAATAAGACCATGATTTTCAGTGTCTAGCAAAGTTATGAATTTAAGCTCCCAGACTCATCTTTTGAAAGTGTTTGCAGGTTTCCTTTGAGGATGAGGACAGATAGGTCAGATATAGAGTGATTGCTTTGTGAAAAGTGTTCACCCATAGGTGATATGGGGTTTTTCTCTTTTATCATTCTCCTGTGTGAGTTCATTTGAGAGCATAGTGATTGTCTGGTTTCAAATTCGTAACTTTGCTAGACACTAAAAATCATGTTCTTAATAAAGACATTGGATTTATGGCTTACTACAAGAATCTGTAACCCGCTAACCCCCCATCATTTTGTTGGAGTGGTGCACGACCGTGAGTGTCAACCTCAGGGCAGACTGTCAAAAAGCAGGGCTGACACCCCAAACTGGGGGTATGTTCTAGAATTAGATTTCACCAACCCAATAACAAATGTGAACTCCTTTAACAGTCTTACCATGGAATCACAAACAGTCCCCTGGTGCACTATCTTGCCACCCAAGCAAGCTGTACTTAGTGATAAATGGTCACTTGCACCAAAGATCATAAAATATTCAGGTTGCTCCCAGTCCCAGGAGACCAGTGACTTACCACAGGTAAATTTGTATCTTAGATCCCACACCAAAGACAACACTTGTAGCCAATCCTATAGTAAACTCCTAAATAAGGATTTATTAGCTAGAAAAAAGAAATGACAAGAGTTATTTACAGGTTAAAGTAGGCAACATGTAATACAAATGCGTTACAGTCTCTGGTTCCAAAAGGTGACAGAGATATAGTAATCTGTCAGCACTGAATGTCTTTTAGGGCTAACCCAGGTTGATCCTGGAGATACCTGCTTTTTGTTTCCTAGCTTCAGCCCTCTGAGAGTCCAAACAGCAAAGAGTTGAAGGATTTTCATGTCAGCTATCTTTATTTTCTTCTTTCAGAATTCATGTTGATGAGATGAGCTTCCTTGCACGTAGCACCTTTATGGATGTGAGGGGGCCATTAGCCAAATCTTTGTATTGTGATGCTTCACAATTGCCTAGTTTTGCTAGTCCTCCTTGATGGACAAGGGAAACACTTCTCCTGTCTGAGTTCACAAGTTCAGAGCAGGCATTTTTACAGTTATAGAACAAAACTTTTGTATTGCCTTATAGCATGGGATACAGACATTACAAGCAACTTACAACCATTTTATAGAGTCTAAACACTAAATATATCCTTACAAGTCTAACACCTATGTTGAACAATACTAACATACGGGTAACCTGGTCTGGTTTCCAGCTATGAATTTGTCAGTGCTCAGCTGATACTTGCAGCCTTGGCAAGAGCTGGTCTACCAGCAGCACACCCCTTTTTGTCCTGACTACAGGGGTGTTAAAGAGCCACTTCACCTTGAACGGTTCCTTAGAATATGTGCTATCTGTTCAACCTTGTATTTAACTGTGAAACTGACTTGAGGAAGAGCTCTATGTATCTAGAAAGCTTCTCTCTCTTACCAACAGAAGTTGGTCCAATAAAAGATATTACCTCATCCATTGTCTCTCTAATATCCTGGGACACATGGCTACAACAACACTGCATACAACAATGTTATTAGTATCCTTCCATGTTCCAGTTCAATATTAAAAGATATTTTAATTTCAAACCACTAAAAGAAACATGTACTTATTTTACCATGCTCTAATATTACTTGGCAAGCAAAGGCTAATAAGTGTCTAAACAAAGAACTGTGTTGTTTCTTCCTGCTAATTAGTGCCATTTGCAAGAATGACTGCTGATTGTCTTTTTAAATGTGGAAGCTGCAGAATATATGTTCAGGAGCACGTTATTTTCCAAAATTAATTCTCTTTTTAAATTCTTTGCTTTTTCTTTCCTATGTTGCTTTTGCCTTTCCTGATCGAAGGCTAGGAGAGTAAGTCAATGTTTTAATAAGCCTTTGTTTTTCTAGTGAATTTGATGACATTTTTATCACCCTACTTGTTTCTTTCATTAGTTTTTTTTTTTAATTTATTTGGGAAGATTCCATTTATTAACAAATATGTACACCATGTGTATTTTTAAACTTAATTAAAATAGAGGATAATTAGTGGTGTTGTTTCATATATAATTGTGCATGTAAAACTTACTTGCTTTCCTTTAGCAATTTATGATGAGCCTTTTAAATTCCTTCATTACCTTGGGACACACACCTGCATTCTTTGTATACTCAAAATTTGGAGTTTTGGATATACAATAAATGCATGATCAAGTAATGTAAGAGTCCATAACTAGTTATTAAACTTCTTAGTTGGGATTCCTTGTTTGAAAAATCTATTATTACATAAAGTGGGGGGAGGTAGGGAAGGAGAAGTAAACTACGATCAGTGTGAGATCTTATTACATACATTAAAGTTTTTTTTAATATTTTTTTCCCCCTTCTATAGGATTCCCAGAGCAGGCAAGGAGGATACAGTATGCATCAGCTTCAGGGAAATAAAGAGTATGGAAGTGAGAAGAAGGGTTATCTCTTAAAGAAGAGTGATGGGTATGTAGTTGGAGTATATAATACATGCACTGAATTTTTTGAGCTTGTACATTTTAATAACATACATGATTAAAAGAATTCTCTTAATTTACTGATTAGAATGCTTGCATATCTCATCTCATTTGTGAAGTGCTTATTTTCTTTTTAGACATTGTTAAAACTTAGAATTTATGAAAACTATTCAGAGATAAAAAGTCAGTGTTGTTTGGTATATCATTTCATAAGCTCCCCATGTGGTGTGTAACATAGAAACATCTGAATCACGCTTCATGGAGATATGTAAAACTGTGATTAACTTCAGTGTTAAATTTTTACTACTCGTCCCATTGGATGTGCAGAAGATGTTGTTTACTTACCCCATTTGATATCATTTAGTGTTCTTGAAAATCCAGAATTTCTACATTTGAACATAAACTACTAGATTCAGATACTTCTCAATTCACTATATACACAATTTTAACCCTTTTTGAGCCATGCTCCTTTGGGCCTTTTGAGTAAAGTTTTATAAGCACCTTAGAAACTTAAGAGTCTAAGTCTGTGTTTCAAAAATGATTTAGATCCTTAGGACCTAACTCTCTCTGAGAGCTGCTCAATTTTAAAATGGGACTTATGCTCTTAAGTCAGTGAGGCACTTCAGAAAATGTTACCGTTTATAAATAAAAATACAGTGGTTAAAAATTGAACATTTTGGTCTATAAATGTTTGATTTGAAATTCTTATTTTCAGGCTCACTGCATTAACTATAAAATAGAATATAAATTGTGTATCTGTAGAAAATGGAAAGAATTATAGTAGTTTATAGGCCGAACCTGCAAGCCTGTACTCACTAGAGATGTTTCATGGGCTTCAGTTGGCCAGCTAATGGAGGGCATATACAAATGAGCAAGTGTTTGCTAGGTTCAGAGCTTTAATTTGTAATATTTATATTTTATTTACCAAAAAAGTTATTACTCCAATAAATTTGAATATAGCATTAAGGATGAAAAAATAAAGCACTCAAAGATCAGGAAATGCATATGTAACTTTAAAAATGTAACCTTAAATCTTTTTCCCTATGCCAAGACCTTAAAGAGGCTCTCTCTTTGTATTGTTAAGTTACTAAAAATGTTTATTAAACTATAAACTGGAATTTTTTGCAGAATCTTACATACAGGTTTCATGCATATCTTATTTTCTAAGTATCATTAATATCTACAAATAAAGCAATTTAAAAAAAAAAGGCTTTGTAGTTTTAAAATCCTTAACTAATCTGATATCACCAGTCATTTCACATAGGATATTAAACCAGCTGTAAGAAGATAACTGCACTTTTCTACAGACATGAGTAATATTTTAACCAAACCTTTTTGAGTTAGAAAAAAATCCAAACTTTAACATTTGAAATCTGAAAAATTGTCAGACCTGCAATGTGAAGGTTGTTTAACAACTTGAGTCATTTTCAGTGCTAGGGCATCAGAAAAGTAAACCTTCTAGCACTAAGGTTTTAAGATTTTATTATTATGAAAACAGTCTGCCTTCATCTTGTTACCTACATTTCATCTGGGTGGTTCTTTTGTTAGCTTCACTTATTTTGTTTCTGTGGTGACAAAAAAGGCACAGCCACTGTGTGTGTGTGTGTGATCTGTCAACCAATAATTCTTTTTCTTTTTAATGCTCCAAAATTTTCAGACATTGCTGTCTTCTTCAACGTACATAAATTATATAAAACAGATTATAGCAATGTCACCTCTTTAACAATTTTTGTATTAGCTGTGAAGATAGGGTGAGGAATGGGAAGACAGGCCAGAATTAACTATTAATGTAATCTATTCATTGAAAAAAATGAAACATTGTGTGGTCATGCAAAATGTTAGATGTGAAATCATAATCCAAATTCTTTATTGCCAGCGTTTTCTGTCTGTAGATGCCAGCCTTCTTCCCAAAGATAACGTACGTTGGTGCCCTAGGTATTAGAGAGGTGAAGTCATTCAAAGACCAGTCCAGTCTGTAGTGCATTTACTGCCTCTTAATCTACTAGCACGGCAGGAACAGGACTTATATCAATCAAGTGAGGGCAATGTAGATAAAAGCAGGTAGGAAAGTCTGTAATACTGTCCCAGTGCTCTTGAATGAGATATTGGTGCTGATAAAAGTTCAGGGACCACTTGGTTTTCCTCTTCTAGATAGTGATTTAAGGTATGAATAAAAATAAAAGCCTCAGTACTGAAAAAAGTGGAAGCTGAACAGCATCTCTTCTTCAGGGAACACAGAGTGAAGATAGCCAACTAACACAGCTTTTATACAGAAATGTCTTGATGGGAGAGAATCCAGTTTTCTACTTTGAACCTTCGTGGAACAAATTCAAATAATTGTTTTCTGTCTCTGAAAAATATTAAATGCACAGCATCAAAACTGCATAGCCTTAAGATAATTGCTACTAGAGTGGAGGTTTTTCCTGCTCCCCATCCCATATAAGAGATGAGGAAGAGTTGGAGAATAGAATTCATATAAGCATAATCTATTGAAATGAGAATTTAACCCAGAGAAATCCTAAAAACATTGATTAGAATCCTACTGTAGTTCTATTTTAATCAGTTTAAAGTACTGTATAGGCTTAGAAGCATGCGGACTACATGAATGATCAGACAGAGTGATAAGCCTTTTCATGTTCAAACACCTTTTTCAAAGAGAATTTAATTTATGACCTTTCAGTCAGATAAATCAGGGACATGAATTGTTAACTTTGTGGTGGATATAGTGTAAAAATTGGTTTTTTGTTTGTTTTAAAAAGTGAAGACATAAATGAAAAATTTCAATTAAGCCAAATAAGCTTTGGATGATGTCACTTTTTTATTATTTTACATGAAGAATTCTGCTCACCTGGTCAGAAAAGTGAAATTAGGTGTTCGTTTTATTTAAAAGCTTATATCTATGAAACTAATGCAGTTAATGTAGTAAAGCATAAAGAGTAGTGATAAAATTTTTAAAAGTGATTTAGGTACTTAGGCACCTAAGTTTAATTGAAAATCAGTTGTACTTGAGCTCCTAAGGGCTGAAGACTCTTGAAAATGGGGGAATTAAGCACTTTTGAAAATGTTACCTAAATCAGTTGGTTTTCTGGAGAGTGTGTTGGCTTGCTAATCTAGTTAAAATTTAAACAATAATAAACGTGTTTATTTCTTTAACTTCTGTTTGTCCTCCCTCCAAGTTTGTTGTACAGGCATACTAAAAAGAGCAGTAATTATTCTTGGTTCTTGATATATTGTCCTGTTATTGTTTAGGCTAAGGAAAGTGTGGCAGAGAAGAAAGTGCACTGTCAAAAATGGAATTCTTACCATATCACATGCAACAGTAAGTTGACTTTTTTATACTCCATTATTGTCATAGTGAATTCAATGAACTCTATCCCTGTGAATCTATTGACTGAATTAATATAGATCTGTTATGCGACCATTTAAAGTATGGTGCATAAATACCTCTTCTACCTAGATAATTTAATGCCTGTTCACTTATTTGTGAAAAATTGAAAACCATTCAGTTAAGCAAAATAAATGAAAACATGAAAGATTGATTGAATGGTAACATATAATTAATATTCTATATTGTGTATAATAAAAAATCTAGCATGAAATAGGTTTTTTTGTTATGTTTGTTCTTTTGTACACACTGACTTCCAAAGTAAATGCTGAACTGTTTTAGGCTGCAGGAGCCTTTTAAGATTTTACCTGGACTTAAATTAAACAGCTTGTTGTTAGAGCTAATTCAATAATAAAAATGTATTTGTGAATAATTTATTTGGCAAGTGGCAAAATTTGTTGGAGAAATTATTCACAGCGAATAAGACATCTAGTTTTACTTTGTTAGGAATGTTGCTAACTTTGAGGCATCTAGCTGTGCCTGGGACTTGATGGGAAGAACTGAAATCAACAGACAATATTAAAGAGCACATCTTATTCTTTGCACATTAATAGTAGTAAAATTTGCCCCATAAACTGCAACTTTTACTTATTTTATAAATAAAATTAGACCATATAAATAGTATCACATTGTTTTGCCTATCTAGCAATTGGAATAGAGGTGTTGCCAAGTGTTTGGGGCTTATGTTACATATGAGTGGGGTGCAACAGTCGAATTAATGTATTGATTTATTAAACACTTTCACCTGTTCTGGAGATTTAGGAAAGATTCCCATTGCTTTCAGTGGACTTTAGGATGTGGCCCTTAAATGTTTTGTGCCGAATAATGTTGGTCCATGGGCAGTTACAACAGATTAACTAAGAAAATGTTTTCCTTGGCAAGTGAATTGTCATTTAATACATTTGTACTGAGGTGCTAATACTAATTAAAAATATTTTAATGGAACATTCGCACCCAGTTTTAACAGCTGGAATCACATCCTCAATTGCTTTCGTGAATTACATGTTCATCTTACCTATGATTATTGTAATTGTCAGCCAGACCAATTATGTTCTTGGCTGAACTATTTTTTCCTTCTCCTATAGGCTGCTACATAAAAATATTTTCTTCACTTTTTGTGTTCAGGTAGCAAGTGGGGATGCTGCTCAGACTTCTGTGCAACATTAATCAAACTCCATAAAGGAGGCAAAGTTTGTCTTGGGATCTTATTCTGGATATACCCTGGCACGTACAAATGAGTCTATGATTTGATCTATAAGCTTGAACTTCTTCCATTCCACTTCGGGCAATGATCTCATCACATCTCTTAAATTAGGCAGGTTGAGGACTGATTGGTATTTGGATGGGTGTTCAGCTAGAATGGTGGTATGATGTGAGAACCTCAATAGAAGAAAAGATGATGATGATGCAAGATGCCTTATAGTGATAGATCCAGAGAGTTCAATCTATTTAGCTTAACAAAGAGAATGTTAAGGGGTGACTTAATTACAGTCTATAAGTATTTACATGGGAAACAAATATTTAATAATGGGTTCTTCAATCTAGCAGAGAAAGGTATTATACAATCTTGTGGCTAGAAGTTGAACCTAGACAAATTCAGACTAAAAATAAGGCATAATTTTTAAATTTTAATTAACAATTGGAACAGTTTAATTTTTAAATCGAGATTGCGTGTTTTTCTAACAAATATACTCTAGGAATTATTTTGGAGAAGTTCTATGTTCTTTGTTATACAGGAGGTCAGACTAGATTATCACAATAGTCCCTATTGGCCTTTGAATCTATGAATTTGGTGTTGGTGAAACAGAAGGTGACACTTTTCCCTGTTAGCGATTGTTAAGTTTATAGTGCATTATGCTGCTGGAGGTGCCATCTATCAGATGAGGTGTAAAACCTGGTCTTTACCACTTCAGGTCACTACAGATTCCAGATCTTTCGCAAGTATTGGAAGGGGTGTTGTTGTGACTTTAATTATTTCCAATTGGCTAATTTCATTCTTCCTACACAAAAACACCTTAAAGATATTTTTTGCTTTACTGAAGCGGAGAGTTGTTGAATGCTGTTAAATTACTGGTATCTTCTACCTCATTGATAGTGGTATTTGACCAGTGCATGAAGTGAGATGTGTGTGTGTTTTAATTTATAAAATCAATTTGTGAATGTTGTAAAGGGCTTTGTAAGACAGATTCAATTAGTTGTTATTATTTATTATTATAATATACCACCCTTCTTTAGATTAATATCATCTTGGCAGATGACATATAATACAAGATTTGTGTTCCAATGTTGGTACAGCTTCATACTCTGATATTACTTGTACTGGCATTGCTGAAAACTCGTCAAATGCCACATTGCTACTGGCACAGTGCATCTTCACCAGTATCCCCGCTAACTCAGCAAGTGACAGAGCCTCCTTTACACTTATCTAAATTACAATAGTTCCATCATAGCTCCTGAAAGGGAAATCCCTACAGGAGCTTCAGTGCCTTCTCCTGATTTTGCAAGTTTTCAATTGATAATTAAGCAACAGGATAAAAATTAGTTGCAAACACTAACTTAAGAGAAATATGTTATGATTATCTTTTGGGGGGAAAGGCACAAAAGAATGCCTGATTCATATTCAGGGAAGAATATCAGTCTGTTCATTTACCCTCATGTGTTTGCTTAGTTATGGGGTCTGTTTTATTTAGAAGTCCTTTCACAGGATGACAAATGATTTCTCAGAATTCCTCACAATGAACAATTACAATTATCTGTCATGAAGGACGTTATTTGCAAGGAGTTTTTCCTCAGTGAACCAGTTCGCAAATCCTTCCAAAAAATTGTTAATTACTCTTGGTGAACTAGGTATAAAGACCAAAAACCAATCACAATAATTTGGATTGCAGATTGGGTATGAATTAAGCCTATTAAGTAAACTATTATTAATCTGTTTACTGCTTGGTATTTGATTTCAAACTGTCCCCCAATAGCTGATCCAGAGTAGTTTTTTCAGGAGTTGTTTGACTTGAGGCTTACAGTTGACCTAAGGACAAAGGGCACGTCTTCACTACCCGCCGGATCGGCGGGTAGCAATCGATCTATTGGGGATCGACTTATCGCGTCTAGTGAAGACGCGATAAAATCGATCCCTGATCGCTCTGCCGTCGACTCCGGAAATCCACTGCGGCAAGAGGCGGAAGCGGAGTCGACGGCGGCACAGCCAGGTAAGTCGACCTAAAATACGCAACTTTAGCTATGCTATTCACGTAGCTGAAGTTGCGTATCTTAGGTCGACCCCTCCCCCCCCAGTGTATACCTAGCCTCAGTTAGTTCCAGTACAGTGTTAAATCTGATATCTGATCACAACTTGTAATGAGTAGTCCACAGCAAATTCCCTTATTGCTGTTCTAGAGAAATTTAAATTCTCTAGCTTCCATATTTTGGAAGATTTCACTCTTACAAAATCTGTAAACTTTCTCTCAAGGTGTGTAAAAATGTTAGAACAAACTAATGCTGATTCATAAGTGATAACTGTAATCCACCTAAAACATAATAAGCCTTCACAGACTAAGCATTAAGAAACTTTCTTCAGGTTTAGTTACTTTTATTGGTTAAGATTAGGCTGTTACTCAGATTCTAACTAGCTCAGGGGCGGCAGGTTATATGGGCTCGTGGTGCCCGAGCACCAGGAATATTCAAGGCTGGGGGCTGTGCTCCACCAATATCTGGAGCTGGGTTTCTCCCCTGGACCTGCCTGGAGAGGGCACCGGCCCCTGCCCAGTAGCGTAGCTGGAGGTGAGCGGCCGCTCCCCTCTGTGCACATTTTTCAAAAGCGGCGCCTTTCCAGTTTCCAGGCAGCCAGCACTGGGCTCCAAACTCGGAGTCTGGAGCCGGGTTTTGCGTGTGGCCGCCGGCTGGCTCTGGGCTCCGCACCGCCCCCCTGCATCCCCAGCCCTGCTCGCTGGCTCAGGGGCTGCAGCCAGGTCGGCTGGTTGCCGGGCTTCCTGGGAGGAGGCTCCCGCCTCCCCCCCCCCCTCCCCCGTTGCCCCCCCCCCCAAGCCGGGGGGGGCGCTGCGGGGGGGGGAAGGGGTGGCAGCGCAGCCCCCCCCAGCGCAGCGGAGCGGGGGGCTGAGGAGCAGCAGCTCCCTTGGTCCCCGGCAGCCCCATGCAGAGCGAGGCAGCCACGCGGCAGGGAAGGGGGCTCTGAAGCCCAGCTGGTGCTGGTGAAGAAGGAAGGAAGAGGGGAGGGGGCAGGGGATGTCTTTTTCTCCTGGTCTCTCTCCAGCGGAGGGGGCTGAGGGAGCGGCAGGACCAGGAGGCAAAGGAGCGACTTTGTGTTATTGCCCCCCCC